TTCTGTTATCATTGTTAAATAATTTCTTTGACGTTAAGCGTTGCATTTCTGTCTGGTTTCTGTCTGATTGGACCCAGACTGTCAAAAAAAAAAAAAAAAAATCAGCCTTGTCAGGACTGATTGTGCCTGCAGTACTTGTCTAACCTGCCAGCTGACAGCCTGCTTCTTGTAAAGATATAGACTCCTGCTTTTTCTCATGCAATCTTTCCTTACCTTTGATTCTGTGGTATTGAATGGGGCTCACTGGTGCTTCTGGGGTCCCACACTTTGTCTTTCCAAGTAAGTGATTTCTGGTTTAGTTATATACCCTTGGAAGAAGGGAGATAGAATGACTTATTGATTAGGACGATGGACTCTGTAATATAATCATCTGGCCTTGACTGCTGACTGTTCTTGCTAGCACTGTGATCTTGGAACAGTTTGGAAGAGTGTGTAACAAATCACTTGACTCTCTAAATCTCAGTTTTCTTGTGGATAAAGTGGGATAATTATAATACCTACCTCCTAGTGTTGTTGGAGTTCAGTGAAGTAATACATGCAAGTGCCTGGACCAGTGCCTGGGGTGGCAGGACTAGGTACATTTCCAGTTATTGTCACCATCATTATTGTACTGTTGTTGTCATTAATTCTGTGAACCCAGCACATTGCTGGAGATCTGAGGTGTAGGTGTCTACTCTTACTGTACTCCCTCAACTGGATACAGTGTTCACTGCATTTAGCAGCAATTTTTTATAAATTGTAATTTGGAAGTGTGGCTGTTTCCTGTTTTTCTGTTCTATTTTTATTTCTTATTTCCCCCCTGGTTTCAGGGAAGAGAGAGACAGAATTGCCTTTCTTTGCCATCATTATTTAGAAACATATCCTCTTACTAACTACAATAGAAGTGTTGTTTTTCAAAGAATACTTGCAATTTGTTTTTATCAATTTATTAAAGATTTTACCAGTACCTTTGCCACAGTAAAATCATTACTAAAATACTGGCTAACAAGAGTTCAAAGGAAATGTATTTTCATATCACATACTAGTATGATAGTATGATATGATATGATAGTATCATACTAGTATGATATGAAAGTACATTTCTTTTGAACTATCTTGTTAGCCAGTATTTTAGTAATGATTTTACTGTGCCAAAGGCACTGTTTTTGGCTGATATGTTTGTTGCAAGATGAAAACTGACTAGAAAGATCAAGTTTATTAGTGTTGATGCTAAATTTTTTACTTAGTGCTAGAAATCCAGTTGTACAGCAATAGGGTGGCTTGAGTATGTGTAGAAAATGCTTGAGTTCAATCAGTTGTGTGATTTGACTGCCAAGAAAGCTGGCAAGCTCCACCTTACAGTTAATTGAATTGCAGTAAACTCTCTGTGCTGGGGAGGGCCCCACTCTGCCCTCGCTTGCACGGGTCAGACTGCGCTCTGGGAATCCAGTACCAGGAGACTGTTCTTGAGTGGCACTTTGTGATCAGAGGAGAGTGACCAGGAGTCAAGGACACGTGAGACAGTACTTCTTCAAGGGATGGGTTGAAAGTAGTGGGGACTTTTTTTTTTTTTAAGATTTATTTATTTATACAAGCACTCGGTATAGTCAGAAGTACGGGAGGGTGAGAGAATTCACCAGAGTCAGAGCGGAGAGCAGAGCAGGCAGACTGACAAAATACAATGCTGAGGGGAGCAGTGGGCGGCAGGAGAGGTCTGCGCGCCATGTGGCACCCTCACCCGGTGGCCAGGGATTGAACCTGCGCTGCAGAGGCTGCAGCAGCTTCGCAACCCAGCGCGCATCACTGCTATGCCAAGGGGTAGGCCCAGTAGTGGGGACTTTTAACTTGAGATGAGAAGGCTGGTGGAGAGTAATTGGGAGATACAATGTCAACAATAGCAATAGATGCTAAAATTTATTGGGTGCGACTATAAGCGAGGCACTAAGAACTGGGCATTATAATCTTATTCATTCCTCATGACAAGCATATGAAATAGGAACAATCCCATTTCTTAAGTGGGGAAATTAAGATTTACTAAAGTGGAGAATTTTAATTGCGATCACATAATAAAAGAGAGAGCCAAGCTTTGACTTTTTTTGTTGACTTGTAAAGACTTGAGCTCTAATATCATCAGTTTCTTGTGATTGGCATCTCCAAATATTTGAAGGACTTGCGTGCAGAAGAGGGTCCCAGAAATTAAAGCTAGTGCAGAGTTGGCAAATGCCCCAATATAGATTCTCCATGGACTGTTTTCTAGATTGGGGGCAGCGAATTCCCCAGCACTGCTCACGTACAGGTGTGAGCTGAGTGCCTGCTGCCTGGTGCATGTTTGTCAGGAGAGGCAAGTTTGGAAGAGGAGTGGAGCTGGACAATGTGATCTTCAGAGTCTCTTCCAACCTTGAGATTTGGGGCTGCTACGTATGTTTTCATCTTTATGAGGTGTATTTTTTTTAATTAAACTTTTAAAATTTTGGTATTTATTGTCTTGATCATTTTAAACAGTACTGAAATCATTTCAGTATCATCAAGTATATATACTTTGATGTGCAGCCAATATCCAGAGATGTTTCATCTTGCAAAACTGAGACTATATCCACTAAACACTAATTCCCCATTTGCCCCCACCCCAAGACCCTGGAAATTTCTGTTTCTGTGAACTGACAGCTTTATATTCTCATATGAGTAGAATCTCCTGCCATGCCTATCCTTGTGTGACCTGCTGATTTCTCCTACAGAGTGTAAGGTGCGCCAGGTTCATCTGTGATGTATCAAGTCAGGATTGCCTGATTTTTTAAATACTCCAGTGAATGTATATGCTGCATTTTAAACCATCCTCTTAGTTAATGTCCTCTTTAAGTTAAAAAAAAAAACACTTAAAAACTATTAGAATCAATATTATTACAACAACCTATTATTATGTTTACATATTTTTATAAATGAAAATATCTGAGATGGTTAGAGACTGGTGTGCCCTAATGAATGAAAGAATTCAGGAGTCTAGCCTGAATCTGTGCTGACCATGTGGCACATCCTGGAAGTACTGTTTTGAATTAAATTTCTAGTGGTGGGTTTATTTTCTTATAATGTGTGCCTTTAAAAAATCAAATCCAGGGGCCTCCCTGGTGGCTCAAGGGGTTAAGACACAATCTATGAAGCTCTCCGCAGCCACTGCAGCACGATTTCGATCCCCGGCCAGGGAACTACCCACATGGTGCAGAAGACCTCTCCTGTCTCTCCTGCTGCTCCCCTCAGCAGTGAATTTTAGTCAGTCTGGCTGTTCTGTTCTCACTCTGTCTCTGGTGAATCCTCTCACCCCCCACACCTCTGGCCTGTACCCCAGTTCTTATATGAATAAATAAATCTTTATAAAAAATAAAAAATATCAAATCCAGTATTTAGCAGACAAAATGAATAGTTCTGAAAATGACAATGAATAGGAATTTCTGGTTAATAGAATGCCAGATTTCTTGTATCTTTTGTGTGTTTTTTTGCAGAGTCCTTATGTTGTAGAATACTTCTGTGGGCTGTTTGTTTTTTAATCAAACGTTTATTGACTTTCTATGTAACAAACACTGAACTTTACCCTAAGGATTTTACTTCCCATGTTGGTCTCATCATGTTTTACTGCTTCATTTTATGTCTCAAGCAAACTGAGACCTAATATATGAAGTGCTGTCACCCATATGATGGGAGGCAGAGGTTGGTATCAAGAATTCTTTATTTTTCCTTTTTAATTAGCTGGTTTATATATATTTTTTCATACTCTCCTTAACAAAATACTAACAGTAGAGCTTACATTTTAACAGGTAATTTCCAAAAATGGAAACTTTTTCTTGACTTTTTTTTTTTTTTTTTTTTGCTTATAGTGTGAAATAGAAGCATGAAATCTTTCAGTCATTCACAGCAGGGCTGTAGGGAGGCTGGCTGCACCAGCCTTCCAATAATTTTTCACCTTTCAGCCTCCCCAAATAAACGTGCTAAGTAAAATCCCAGTGCTTGCTGTGTAAACCAGGTTCCAGTCCCGTTCCCACCTCTGCATCCTGCTCTATCCCTGCCCTCCCAGCAAAGAGGTCCCAGGAGCCTTGTGGGGGTGGTAAACACTGTTTACTGAAACCCCCACTCCTGGTGCATTTGACTCACAAGCAGATTGTCAGAAGGGAGTTTGCAGCAAAATGTGTGCAGATGACAGTGAGTGCTCAACTTTCTAAGCTATTTCCATAGAAACGACCGCGAAGCCACAAATAATGGGCTGTGGGAAGCAGCATAGAGAACAGTGGTTCTAAAAGTTTAGGGAAGTCCCTGGAAAGATGGAGACATGATCCACTCAAGAACATGGGAGGAGACGTGCTCCCTGGCAGGTGGGAAGCGGCTGTGACTGCTTGTTTTTCATGAGTGAGACTCAGGCACATTTAGAACTTTTTTTTTTCTTTTTTAACTAAAAAGATAGCTGAAATTTCTCTTTGCTCTCAATTTTTTTAAACTCCTGAAAACAATAATTCTACAGCACTGGCTTACAGATAGCCAGGAATGCCAGCCTTGTCCCCTCCATTCACTTTGTGCTGTTTCCTCTGTTCTAGGTGTTTACAGCTTCTGTATACCTGGCCAGGGCTTCTCCTTCCTACTTATTTTTTAAATTTTTATTTTTATTTATATATTTTTTTACATTATTGTTCATTTTTAAACAATGTTTCCTTCCCCCCCCCCAGGTGTAGTCCCCATAGAATTTCCTTCACCAATGTGCCCATGCATCATCACCATCACCTTCCCTGTGCTCCTCCCTCCTCTGCAGGATATCTCTGTTTTATAATTGTCTGTTGTGTTGTATTTTGTATTGTTGTTATTTTTTCCCCCTGATGTGTTATTTGGTTCCCCTGTATTCCTCCTATAAGTGAAACCATCCGATATTTTTCTTTTTCCTTATGACTTATTTCACTGAGCATAATTCCTTCTAGCTCCATCCATGTTGCTGCAAGTGGCTAACCCTTCCTGCTTCCTGATGGGCTGTCTTACTGTCTTTTCAGGGAAGAAGAGCCCAGACCTGGGGGAGTATGACCCTCTCACACAGGCGGACAGTGACGAAAGTGAAGATGATCTTGTGTTGAACTTGAACTTGCAACAGAAGAATGGAGGGGTCAAAAATGGCAAGAGTCCTCTGGGGGATGCCCCGGAGCCCGACTCGGATGCCGAGGTCGCAGGGGCTGCAAAGCCACATCTGTCAGAGGTCACCACGGAGGGGTACCCCTCAGAACCCCTGGGGGGCCTGGAGCAGAAGGCAGCCTCCTCTGTTGCCTCCTATGCACGCACCTCTCTCTTCCTGCTGACGGTGGTGATCGCCATGATCCTGGTGCTCGTCTGTGCTTTTCTGATCCCCTGTCCCCCTAGGGACCTGCATAGCACTTGGAGTCGCCACTTGGGCCCCCAAGGAGGTGAGTGGCAGGATTTTCACTCCCATTTCTCTCAGTCGCCATCATTACATATTAATTCTGTAAAACTTCTGATTATGTAAAAGTCTCCTCCGGTTCTTTAAAATAAATTTGTGTTCTATGGTATTTCCCTCCCTGTGTGTGTGGTGGTGGTTAGGGGACTGAGATTAGAAATGCAACAAAAAGATGGGTGGGTGCAACTCCAGAAGCTTGGGAAGATCACTGCCTGTTGGTTTTTTGGCCTTGGTCTTGATTAGATGCAAATAGGATGGAGCACTGTTTGCTGGAATCTGCTAAGCAGCCCACAGTGAATCAGGGGAGTGCAGAGCTGTGGGAAAGCCATTTTCAGAGAAGAGTGAAGCTCAGGCCTGGCCAGTCCAGAGGCCAGTGGCTGATAGGACCCCCAGCACTCCTGATGATAGATGATAGCCAGACCTAGATTTGAAAGGAAATTGGCTGAATTTGAATTTTAAAATAATTTCATTTCAAGCAAAAGAGAGTTGTTTTCCTGCAGCAACTTTTCTTTCTTGCGCTGATGGTTAGGGTAGTTTAAAGATGATTTTGTCTACTTTGGAGCAGGTTTCTTTAAAGTAGCTTACACTGGGTCAAGAATAAGAATTGTGTCTGAACTCAGTGCTGAGAGGTCCTGTCTCTTGTCAGCAGGTTAGACTGAAGGGTTTCAGAACACATCACCCTGAAATAGGCCGCTTTGGCATATGATTATTTGGGGTTAAAGGAACTTGAGGAAGAGCAGATGCAAAAAGGACTCTGCCTTTCAGTTCTTGCTGAAATTGGGAGATGAAACTGCTAGGGGGAAGGTGGCCTCTCTATATGGGAGGAAGCTGGTCATCTGTGCATCGGGTTTGAGACCAAGAGAAATCTGTGCAAACCCACATTGTTAAAATGACCTCTCTTCCTTTAGGCTCCTCATCTGTTTTGATTACATAGTTAAACCTAGTTTATAAGCACCTGGGCCTGGCCTCTTATTTGGGCCTGCATTTTCTATGGGGACTCCCATGTACACGTTCAATTTTATTCAATAAAACTTGAATCCTTTCTCTTGGTCATCTGCCTTATCACAGTCCCAGCTAGAAATCCTAAGAGGGAGTTTCCAAAGAGAAAATTTCCCTTCCCAGATCCTTATATTACCTTGATCTAGAAATATTTTCCCTGCCACTCCTCTGATTCTGGTTGACTTAGCTTCTGGTGTGTGCTGAGTTCATGTTTCTACTTCATCTTTAGGCAGAAATGGGTGGATGCAGCATATGCTACATATGGGCTTATCATGAGCAATAGCTCTCCCCCTCTTCCTTGCTTTTTGACTTTTCTAAGTGAGATATTATACAATTTATCTACAGTATAAAGAATAACAATTTGTTAGTGTGGCCACGTCCCAGTTTAAGAATTAGGACGCTATAAAGACATAGCCCCCCAGTCCTGTCCTCTATGCTCTCCAAAGGACTCCACAGTCCTGAGTTTGGGTTGATTGTGCCTCTTTTTGTCTTTAAAATTTTAACCATAGAGCTCTCAATCATACATTCTTTAATTTTGCCTACTTTTGAATTTTATATATATCATAGTCTTCTGTGACTAGCTTTTTTAAAACTTATTTTTTAAAATACTATTTTTGAGGTTCATCCATAGCTGGACTTTATTCATTTTCATCTCTTTGTGGTGTGACTATCCATGGTAAACATTAGGCAGCTTCCATTTCCAAAAAGAGAAATAATGCTGTGATGAAGAGTCCTGTACGGAAAAGGCTGTAAGAATTTCTTAAGGGCATAAACCTCGGCATGAAGCTGCTGCCTCATCGGATGTGTGCCTGTTGAGGACTAGCAGTTTCTGTTCAGTTGTTTTCTGCTGGCCCGATGTGAGTTTTCTTCAAAGCTTGCAGGCATCCTCTGACTCTACTCTGTGTGTGTGTGTGTGTGTGTGTGTGTGTGTGTGTGTGTGTGTGAGAGAGAGAGAGAGAGAGAGTGTGTGTGTGACACTAGCTACCTTGTCACTGACAGGTGGAAGTCCAGGCTCCTGCTAGGCCTCTGCTGCCACCGCCCTGCGGGAGTGGGAGGTGGGGTGTGGGAAAGCCGCCTCATTCTTTCTGGGTTGGGGCTACAACTGTAGCACCTTGTGTGTGGAGGGCCTCGTGCCAGGTTGTGGGGGTTGGGGGGCACCCTGCCTCCCTACCTTGCTTTCTCTGATTCTGGTGGGGGAGAAAGGGTGCCTGTCATAGCCTGGGGAGAGTGGAGGTCTAGGCCCCCCTCTTGGCCTTTGCCATGGAATGGGGCCACGGTGTCATCCATGGTGTTTGGTTGGTGCAGAGCAGTTATTCTCTAAAGCCTTTCTGTCTGGCTAGGCCATGCCCTTCCCAGCCCTTTGACTAGAGGCCCAGCTTTTCTTGGGGCTTTTTTTGTTTTTTATCTATTCCTGTGGGCATTTCTGGCTTGTCAGTGTCTCCAATATCCTATCTCAGATACATGGAACAAAAAAACACCAAGGGAGTCCCTACCTTGTCATTCCTGGGGTCTCATGGTCCCTAGTTGGCCTGCCTCTTTCTTCCACCTTTAAGAGTCTTCTCTTTGTTTTGTATACATGGCAGCTCGCCAGCTGTTCCTAGTGTGGGAACTGGCCTGGCTGTCTACTCCACCTTATCAAGGGGCCGCACGTTTGCCTACTCTCTATGGTGGTGCTGCAGTGCTCCGCGTCCACCCCCTTTCTAACCTGGAGTGGAGCACTGGTTTGGGGGAACTTGCTCAGGACTTTCTTTCTTTTTTCAATATGTCATCAGGCGGGGACCTGTCTCCACTGGAATTGGCCGATGTGAACGGAGACGGCCTGCGCGACGTGCTTCTCTCCTTTGTGACCTCAAGGAATGGGAGCGCTGTTGGTAAGAGCCGTGTCTTGGGGTGACTGCAGGAGAAGCTCCTTGACGGAGGGGCAGTCGGCTCCGAGGTACCCTGTAGAAAAGGGTCTGCAGTGAATCCAGGCCTGCATGATAAGCCCGATGAAAGAGCGCCTGCAAATCAACCTCGTTTCAAGAAATCAGTGAGCGGCATTGCTGGCAGGAATTTTTAGTGGTCAGGGAGGCAGGTGAGGAAGCTGCGATTGAGAGAGGAAGTGACTTGCCCGCATACCTGCAGTGAACATTGGGTATCTTAGGCTTCTTGAGCCTGGTCCTGGTGAATTTTCCATTGCCTCTTAAGTTAAAATTCATTGACTCTGTCCTTCCCCGCTCACCCTAGCCGAGAGCTTAATGTTCACACATACCTCACACATGTACATCGGGGCTGGCTGTTTTCCTCTGTCTCCACTCTCCATCCTGTTCTGGGAGGTTGACCTGTGTGGTTTATGTTAACAGGCTCCCTCGCTTATGGAGTTCAGCTGGGTTTGGCCAGTGGGGAGCAGAGGCAAGAAACTGGAGGAGAGGAGGGGCGAGGGGTGGGTCCTTATTCCCGCTGGCTGGCTACACCCTGGGCACCAGTCACTGCTCCTGTCGAGGTTGTCCTCTCGCAGGACCCTCTTTTCCTCCTCTGTCCCTTTGGGCCTGGGAGTGGTAGTACACATGTAGTACACAAGGGACTACATGTCCGTTGTGATTTCTTTATACCCTGAGTAGTCTTTGTAAATAGTCTCTTTATTAAACCTTCCACAAGCTAATGAGGCAAAAGAAAGAGTGTGGTATTTTCAGCACAGGTCCATGGGGTTTGGGGTTTGTCCTGCAGCCTCCATTAAAGTACATTCGAATTGCAGTCTGTGAATGGATACAGGAACTTCAGTTTGAGGATGAGAACACCTGCTTTTTAGTCATTCAGGTCCTGGAATGAACATCTAGCTATGTTTTAGAGAATTCTGAGGCTGCAACGTCTCTGATGTTATTAGAAATACCTTTCTGGTGCTGGTGCAGTATGTAGAAGCAGCTTGGAGATAGGTCTGTTATAGAGAAATCTCCACCCAGAAATTGACTTATATGCAACTGGACCTTAGTTACTTTTTTTTTCTTCCCTGCCTGTGACTCATTAGCCTTTGGAATAAAAACTTTCCCCATCCACTTTTAAAGTTAGAGCTATTTTAGTCATTTGGTATTTTACATGATTTGCTGTGTAACAGAACTCATTATGGCAAGGCCATGGGGTAGGACACAAGATGGACCAGCACAGATTATAAAAATGATAGCTAACATCTGGTGCTTTCTATATGATGTGCACTGTTGTAATACTGTTATGAACCACTTTATCTGCAGATCCTATGAGGCAGACTAATATTATTATCCCCTTTTGCAGATGTGGAAAAAGACATGATGCCCAAAGTCCCAAAGATGGTAAATAGCAGAGCTGTTTACTCCCAGGACCCAAGTCCTGGGAGTCTGACTCTCAAGGTCATGTCCTTGACATTTTGTCAATCCACTGTGCCCATAACCCTAGCCAGTGGATTCAAATCTATACCACCGAGAATAGGAAGGATTGTTTTTTATTTGTGCGTTTATTCTTCCATTCATTCAACAGTCATGTGACGAAGGTCTGGTGTGCAGCTTACTAGAGCTGGGCTGTTACATTGAGCTAAACCAGATGTGTGGGGAAGGGAGAGTCAGCACCACCTGGCAAAAGATGAGTCAGAGGATTGATAAGGAGTCAAGGTCCCTCACGGAGGAAGCACAGCCCAGGACGTTTAATGAGAGCTTCCCTGGGAGTCTGGAAGTTACCTTTGTTAACTGTGGGTTGTCCTGAGTATCGTTGATTTTGGCAACAAGGTCTGAAACAGACAAACAACCAGTTTGTCACTTGTGTATTTAGTTGGCAGCACTGAGGAATAGATACATTGAGGCTCTAAAACCTACATTTCCTGAACCTCCTTGGTCTTTGCTGGAAGTGCCATGCATCAGTATCCCTCTCCTGACAGTGGATGTAAAACTGGCAGAGGATGAAGTTATACTGACAAGTTAATTAAATGACACAAAGGATTATTTATTGAAGAGGTGTTATTCTAATCCTTTACCTGCTATATAGGTGCTAAGTTTTCCTATTTTCTCTATACTGGGGCCAAATCATCCGATTCTGTTCCACTCTGGACCAGAAAGACCTGCTGATCTTTGCTAAGTATAATCGTCAGGTTTATTTTTAAAAATAATTGCTTTTCTGCCCGCAGGGAGATTTGCTAGTGAAGTGTTCAGGTCTTTTGCTCCCTCTCTGCACACATCCTAGACCAGTCTTGCTTTTCTGAGCAGGCCTTTCCTCCTGCTTTGCTTGTTCTCAGCAATCACTTTCCCCTTGTCTTGATTTTGCTCCTGTCTTCTGTTCTGCAAGCAATTGTTAATCATTGCCATATGTGCTAGGTGCCCTGCAAAACACTGATGATATAGAATGAAAGCTACTGTCTTTATCCTGAAGGCTGTCCCTATTTAGTGAGGCTGAGTGACTGCTTGGAAACGATGTCAAGGTTGCTGTGGAGGTCCACAGCACAGGGTCTTCCATGAGAGCTGTGTTCACAGAACAGCTGTGACAGGTACTCTTTTCAGACCTTGTTGCCAGAAACACAGAAGGGAGCTGAATGCACAGGTGTGAGCTGCTGCCTTACACTGTTTACTTCGGCGGCTTTCCAGTCTGCAGCTCACCCCTACTGCTCATCCCCTCTCCCTCCTCTTCTTTCCTGTCTCTCTCGTACTCTTAGGTGCCCCGAGGCCAGCTGCTCTGCTCGTGTGCCTGTCGGGGATGAATGGCAGCACGCTCTGGTCCAGTCCCCTCCCTGAGGAGGCCCGCCATATCACATGTTTGGATCTGATGCCAGGAAGCAGTGCTGAAACCATCTGCCTTGTGACAGGGACACAAAAGATACTCAGTGCATTCAATGCGACATCAGGTAAAGGTCACTGCCACAAAGGCTGTCAGCTACAGTGAGCCCTCATCACCATCATGACAATCTGGTGGGGAGAGGACCTTTCTCCCCTTTCTTGGTGGGAAGTCTGATTTGTTACTCTGGAAGGTGGATTTAAGGGAAATAAGGGAAAGGGTTTGAGTACATTGAATAATACATCTATAGTTCAACCTGTTTGGTAATAAGATGGGGCTAAACTGAGTTATCCAAAGGGAAACCAGGTTTGTAAATAGTGTCCCTACTGTTTGTAAATAGTGAGGCCTTAGGTTTGTAAACAGTGTCCCTGTTGTTCTTAGTACTAGGGCAGCTAAGGCTTGTCTCTTCCTAGTTGATCTGCGTGGTGTCCATATGAAAATTTGGCTGTTACTACTTAAACATGTCAGTGAAGAAACTGAAGTCTGTGGAGTCATATTGATTGGACCTTGACTTACTGCATTTAGACATGCATGACCGAAGGAATGAAAAAGAATCCAGTATACTGAATGCTTCATCCAGAATTGTACATATCCTGCCAATATGCTTGATAATATTGCTCTGTGGCCTCAAGTGAAGTTGAAGAAAGATCATTCTTTCTAGCTTTAGATTTTGGAGTTTGGCAATGTGATGCTTTGGAGGTGAAGTAACTCAAGAAGTGAAGTCATCTTGAAAACCTCCCATAATTTCTCTACTCGTGGGAACATATGTTAGAAGGAAAGTGAATTGGATTTTGGTTGGCTGCCCTTCTGTGGCCCTTTGATCTTTGTGATAATCTCTAACAGATCAATTGCTCTGCCCGAGACAAGTAGGCTCCTGTTTCTTGGAAAGACTTCAGCACCTCTATTCTATCTAAAACAATCTAGATGTGAAGTTATTTCATGGGTTTGTTTCTGTTACCCAGATATGTGAGGATTTCAGTTCACACTCCTTGCCCCTTTCTCCTCAGTAAGATAAAAACTAAAGGAAAAAGTCAGTAGGGGTTGCTGTCATTCAGCATTGCACCTGCCCTTTGCAGAGGCAGAAAGGTGTAACTGTGTAAGCCTGTTGTCCTTCCCTAGGGAAAGTCATTTGGACTTTAAACTCAAACTACTTATCCAACGGTACCCTGGCTGCCCCAGGTGTGGTGCTGCCTGACGTGGATGAAGACGGCGTTCGAGACCTTGTGGTTCTGGCCATTGGGGACTCACAGGTACGCTCTTTGTGGAGTGGTTCTTGTTTCTTATAGGGAAGCTTCAACTCCAGTTATCCCAGCTCCTAGTACAGTTATAAATGCTGCTTGAAACCTTATTATAAGCACTTCAGTTTAAGTCAGTTCTCTTCATGACATTAAATAAATAAATTACCATCACAAACCCATCTTCTTGGCTGGTTTGATTCCATTGACTGGCAGGGTAGAACTTTGGAGCCAGGTAGGTATATGCTTGAATTTCTGCTCTGCCTCATGTAGCTTTGTGGCCTCGTGCAAACCCCGGCACCTGGTTCTTCTTTGTAAAATGGAAATGTGGTATCTACTGGCGGGATTGTTCTAGAAGTTAGAGCTAATATGTTTTAAGTGCCTAGAGTAATGCCTATTTTTTTTTTACCATGTGTGTATTTTTAGTTCTACTTTATTATATATATATATTTAACTTTAAATTCAATCATGAACAATTAAAATGATAGAAAGTTTATGAAATATATATAGAAAAAATTATAGTTGAAACAAGTCATAACAATGAAGAAAGGAGAGTCATAGTTTAGACTTTGAGTCTCATACAGGCTTCTCAAGGATGTTTTGCTGCAGCCCCCATACACTGCAACTAGTTATTTCTGTGCACAGATAATAGTAGTTTTCCCCTAAATCACAGGAAAGGATACACTCATGAACAAAATTATCTCCATCTTAACGTTTTTATTGCTGAAGTTTTTCTCCATGCTCTGTGAAAGCTTTTCTAAGACTTTCTCTTAGACTGCCTGGTGTGAGTTGGCCTGGAAATGCTTGTGGACAAAAGAAATGAACAATTGGCAAAGAATATTTGTGGGAACATGTGGATAAAGATCATTTTGCCACATTTGATAGCTTATTTAGAATTTTAAAAGACCCTGTGTTTGCTGTTTTGCTTTTTGCAATGCCTACATAGAGTAGAATTATAAAACCTGCCAATATAATGCTTTAGAATAGAATTAAACCTATCAATGTCTTATGGTTTTCTGCTAAGAGCAGCACACGCTAACTCAAGGTGCCCCACACTCACTAGTGTTGAGGAGTACTGCTCTCAGACACCGGGAGACCCCTCTTAGGTTTGTGAGATTAGAGAAGATACATAATGAGGCATATCAGTGTTTAGGGTATTTTCTGTAAGTTTTTCTTCATCTCTTTGGTCTCAAAGTAGACCTGAACCATGACTTCAGCCATTATTAGCAGTCTTTTCTATCCCAGTTACTGTGAATGGAGACCTGACTCTATGAAAATTTCGGTGATTCCGTCCATCAGGGTGTGATGATTCCATTCATCCACATGGAAAGTCTGAGGGGGAGGGATTCTATTTAATGGAATTTCCATTAGCAGAAGCCTAACTAGACAAATTATTTATCCTGAACAATACGCCATCTAGCTTCTTTTCTTTGTGGTTGACGGGACAATCCGTGGAGATTGGGACCCTCTGTAGGGGTCTTTGTTAGAGGAATTGGCTTCTTACCAAGTTCTACGTTGTGCCTTTTTTTTTTTGTCTCCACCAGAAAATAAAGTCAGCGATTATCTAGCTTGCCTCATAGAGTTTAGTCCTTTGCACAATAGTGTACAGATATGGAACAGTTTCCATTTGCCTGAAAAGTGGTAAACTATACTAGACAAATCTTGAAGCTCTGGGTTTAGAGCAGTATCTCCATCTTTGTACTGACCTATTTTGACCTCTCTGTGAACAAAGAATCTGTGGAGCCTGTTACTGTAAGCTGCCAGTGTGGAAAGCTGTCTTCACCAGCAATGAAGCACATTAGGTTTATGAGTTAAAGTGATTATGTTCTTAGAGCTGGGGTGGAGTGGGGTTGGCTGGGAGCTGGTTTGGGATTAGAGGAACTGATCTGTTCTGGAACATTAGTGGAAAGAACCTTGAAAGCCATGTATCACCCTCTCCCTCCATACTATAATCTTGATGCAGTATTCCAGACACACTGGCCCCATTCTCTCCTTAAGGACTCACGCTGATGGGAATAGCACTCATTTGTGAGCCCAGTTCATTTTTGGTCAGCTGTAGAAAATTCTGTTATATTCATGAGAATCTGCTTTCTCATCACTTCCATTCATTAGTCTCCCTTCAGCCCTCAGAGCTACTATGAATGAATTTAAGCCTCTTTCTGTATAAAAGCCCTTTAGCCATTAACCTTGTCCCCTTAAGCCTGTTGCTCACTCTCAGCAATAAATAATCTTCAGTTTCTTACTCTGTTCCTCATGCACCATAAAGTCCAGACCCTTCTCCTCCTTGGTTCCTTTCGCTTTGTGCTCCAGTTTGTCCAGATGTCTTTTAAAATGTGGCACCCATGTCTGAAGACAGTGCTCTGTTTGTATGTAATGAGATATGTCAATGTAAGGAAAAGGTTAGTTCTTTTGATGTAGCCAAAGTTGTAGTTTTCCCAAGAATCACTGTCTGTAATCATTTAAAACACCATTGTTTTAAATAACCAATTAATCAGTGGTCTAATTTCTTCTTCTGTATTTTGACCCATCTTCTAGCCTAAGACTGTTCTCAGTTTTGAGTATATTATACAACATATTCACTACTCTTCTCAGCTTTGTGATAAGCTTGAATTCTGCTCATTCATGTCTTTGATAAGAATGATTAATAGGGGGCCTCCCTGGTGGTGCAAGGGGTTAAGATGCAACCTATGAAGCTATCTGCAGCCACTGCAGCACAAGTTCCATCCCTGGCCAGGGAGCTACCCACATGGCATAGCAGACCTCTCTTGCCTCGCCCGCTGCTCCCCTCAGCAGTGTATTTCAATCAGTCTGCCTGTTCTGTTCCCCACTATGTCTCTAGTGAATCCTCTCACCCCCCATGCCTCTGGCCTGTACCCCAGTTCTTGTATGCATAAATAAAAAAAAATGATTACTAGGAATGGGACAATAGAGTGCAGTGACTTCCCACTATAAACCTCACTCTGGGTTGACATCTTTCTCTGGCTACACTGAAAAACATACCACTTTATATGTCCCTTAGGAACTCATGACAATAAACTTTATCTAAAGCTTTACCCATGTAAATCTATCAGTACAGTCCCCATATTTCCCAACTGGCAGGCTCTACAAAGAAAATGCTCTAAAGCAAACAAGGCCTGCAGGCCAAATTTCACCCATGGTTTATTTTTATAAATAAAGTTTTATTGGGCACAATCACGCCTATCCATTTTTGTATTATTTATGGCTTCTTCCACACTAGTCACAGAGTGGCTTGGAAAATCTACAATATTTACCATCTTCACAGACAACGTTTACTGATCTCTGCTTGAAAGTAAGGTTGATAGTGTCACACCAGACCTTTAATACTATGATAAGAGAGTGCTGCCTGCATTGATTTCTGGGGATGAAAGTAGACCCAGAGGTCAGCTGTCCTCTGTTTAACTCTAGCAAGAAATCTGTACTTCTGGAGTCTGCTCAGCAGTGACTCCTATTCAGAGAAATTGCCTGAGGTATCCCTGAAGGTGCCCTTTGCTAGTGTCTGACAAGGACATTTGAAGGTTGATTCACTTCCTTATTTCCAGGGAAGCAGGTTGGGCTTTGTGATTCCAACTTTGGGAGAAGGTTCAGTGTTTCTGAACCCCTATCTAGTAAGGAACAGTGACTGTTGGGAGAAATTATTTGATTAGGAAATGATTGGACTTCTATTGATTCAACTACCTTTCTTCATGTCTTCAGCCAGATCTGTGCTTTCTGCTGGTGTCTGGCCGGACAGGGAGTCCAGTGGGCCGACCTGTGAAGTACAACATCGTGGGAGTGGGAAATCTGATTGGCCCTCAGGTTTACATCACCACCAGTGGGGCTGTCTACATCCTGTTTGGCTTTGGTAAGAAGCAAGGCAAGCTTTGCTCCCAGTCCCCATTGGTGTACAGTTAGATAGGACTTGCTGACACCAGGCCTTTTGTCACCTTCTATGGCAGGGGCCTCTCCCTCCCCCTACCCATTGCAGGTTATTAACTCTGCTTTCCCTTGCTGCCTTCTCCAAAGAGATGACTCCTTGTTTAGTCCACTGACTCATTTCCCCACTCACTCCGGGTTGCCCCAGTCAGAAGGAATCGGACCCTTCTGATCAGGTTCCCTGTCTCTTGCTCAGATCTTCACCTGGGAGAGTTCTGTTAAATCCAGCTTCTCAGTGTTGGTTCTTCCTGTGGTGCTAGGAAATATTCAAGCTGTCGCCCTGCGGGACATTTTTGTTCAGGCCCAAAATCGAGACAGCTCACCACCTTCTCTGCAGTTAGAAGAACCAGAATGGGAGAAGCGGAGATCCATCAACCTGTCTGAGCTCATTGACATTTACAGGTAGGGCAGGTGTCTGACCTTGTCACACTGAGATCCTGGTGCCCTGGAGTGTCTGAGTGTGGGTGGGCTGGTGAATATGTGGGTGAGGTTTGGGGAAAGCAGTGCTAGCCTTCATAGCCCATTGTGTGGTCTGGTTAATGGGCGTGAGAATTTTCTGTTCTTGGTAATATAATGTGTTGCTATCTGTGTTGATGACTGAGACCTGTGATCATTTTACAGATAGGTTATAAGGAAGGGTGTTTACTTAGGGTTCCAAGTGAGATCAGGACAGGATGAGACTGGAGAACCTTTCTTTGGGGAGATAGATTTATTTAAAATAACTGCTTATAAAGCCAAGCTGAAGTATCTGTTAGTATTTTCTCCTGTATCTTTCTGGTAGTTTGAAGCATCATTTTGGCAGAAACAAGGCAAACATCCTTGCTTTTTTTTTTTTCCCCACTTGTTTATTTCTTTACTAAAAGTGTGTCATTTTACACATTTAACCCCAGGCTGAGTCATCATTGTCTTCATTCTTTTTTACCAGAAGTACAAATCATAGTTGAGCGTTTTATTAGGCAATATCATGTTACTTCGGTGAATTCAACAGATATTAGATTGAATAGTCCCCGTTTTAGAAAGATATTGGGTTGTCAGAAAAGCCATGGTGCATTTTTTGCAACAAAAATTGTAGAAAAAGTATGTCATGACTTTTCTGACAACCCAATAATTCGATGAAGTGTATGGCTTGAGTTGATGCCAAGAGGCATGACTCCTTCAGGCCTCCCTGCAGATCCCCATCTGCCCTCCCTGCCATTACCCCATTGTCCTCAACTCTGTTACCTTTCCCAGACTGCCCTCTGTGAGAGCTCTGCTCTGTAGCACTTCTCTGGGTTCATTTTGAACTTGCAATGCATTTTCTAGGGACACTTGGTTTCTAAAGGTCCAGAACCAGACTTTCAATTGGAAAGACAGAGTATCCCAGTTGATAAGAGACGGTGGGGAAAGAATACAAAACTACATACCAACATGGATGGGAACTGCTGCGGCCACTTTGAGGCACATGAAACCATTCACTCAAAGAATTGTTTGCTTTTCAGTATCTACTGCAGGACTTTCTCCAATAGCTAGGACATAGAACCTGCAAACAACCCAAGTACCCACAGATAAAGGCTTGGATCAATAAGATGTGGTCTGGCCACACAGTGGCATGTTACTCAGCCATAAGGAAAGACATAATGTTGCCATTTATAGCAAAATGAAAGGGTTCAAGGGAATGATGTGGAGCAAAGCAAATCAGAATGACAAAGACAAATATTGGGCATTTACATAGCGATGAGCCATCAAAGCAAAATACTTATAAACACTAGCAGATGCTAGTAAGTGAGGTGAGGTTTCAGAGCCTAAGGAGGTGGAGGAGCGAGAGAAAGGGCCGAAAAGGTACAAAGGATAGTGGTGAGGAAAACAAATTTTATTTTATTTTTTAAAGATTTATTTATTTATTTATTTATTTATTTATATAAGCGCTGGGTACAGTCAGAAGCGCGGGAGGGTGAGAGAATTCACCAGAGCCAGAGCGGGGAGCAGAACAGGCAGAAGGACCTCAGTACACTGCTGAGGGGAGCAGCGGGCGGCAGGAGAGGTCTGTGCACCATGTGGGACCCTCCTCCGGTGGCCGGGGAGCAGCCAGGGATTAAACCGGTGCTGCAGAGGCTGCGGGCAGCTTCGCAACCCAGCATTCAACTGCTGCGCCACCACCGGGGAGGCCCGGAAAACAAATTTTAAAAAGAAAGAACAGTTTATGATACTATTGGCCAAAAGAAGAGAGTATTTGGATATAATTCTTAATAAAAAAATTAAGAGTAAAAGATCGGAATGCAGGGTGGGAAACGAAATCTGGGGGAAGGCACATGTGAATGCTGGATTTAGCTTGGAGAGCTCACAAAAGCCCTGGAAAAGGACAATTAAACAAAACCCAGGTCACTCCTTCACTAAGTGCTCTTGAGTACCTGTTAAATTCTAAGTATTAAGTACATAATAGTGAAAAAGAAAAACAAGTATATACAGACATGGGTGAGGAATCTCATCCACACTAGGGACTAACACTGGGGTCTCCTTTGATCAGTGACGGTGTTGAGCTACTCCAGATGGTGAAGGCGCCAGATTCCAACTGCAGCAACCTCCTGATTACAACCACGCAAAGCCTGGTCTTGCTCCGGGGGCAGAATCTCACACCTTGTTGGACATTGAGTCTTCAAGGCCTGCACAGGTTTGTAGTGTACTCCTCCTCACAATTGCTGTTTTGAGCCCCTGCCCTATGTCTAAAAATTGCCCCAAATAATCGCTTGATACTTGGGGCCTGTGCACGAGAATGGCGGGGGAGCCCCTTATGCTCCTATTCTTTCTCACCTCACTTGCTTCCTTTGCCTCACTCGCAGCCAGCCTACTCCTGGGTATTTCACGGATGATCAGACGTTAGACTTCCTTCTGCAGATCCAGGATGGAGTTGGGATGAAAAAGGTAAAACTTGGGGGCTCAAATCTATCAGAACAAAAAGTGGATAGATGCTTTGTACCCAGCCTGTGCCAGGTGCTGTAGAAAATAAGAATCTAAAATATAGTTTCTTCCTTTAAAGTACTCCAACCCTGGCAGAATGGGGAGAATGTAAACTCACCATTCAGTGCTACGACTATAGCACTGGAGGCTTTTCTAGCTAACGTCCTTCCCAACTAGGAGTTCATTCTGGATTTCTAACTCACAGTGAGGCATTCGGAGCCTCTGAAGTCCCATGGTGGGAAATGGTGGGTATAAATAAATGTAATTCTTGGGAACTTAAGATTTCAGAGAAGGTGGGTTATCTAGGGTAGCTGGATTGTTGTGGAAGCCTTTTTGAAGCTGGGAAAAATGAGTGGATGGAGTTGTATTTATATGCAGAAGAGGCAGGACAGCAAGACCAGAGCCCAGAGCTAGGTGGGTATAGAGGGTTCCCAAGCTGCTGAAGAGGCCTTTCTAATTCTACATGAGGTCACATACTGTAAGAATATAATGATTGGAGAGCAGTTTTCATTCCCTTGACATTACAGGCAGTTTTTTAAATTCCTTTTGTAATAATTGACTCAGGTTCTTAGTTTGTATGATGAAATATGTATTTATCTATGGCACACTGTCCCCTGAGAGTGAACACAGCTCTCGGTCCTTGCCTCTGATGTGTGCAAGTCCCGTGCTGGCTGCACAGGGGCCGTCCGCGGAGACACAGCATCTGTGAAGTCAGGCCAGCTTGTGTGGCTCCTGGTCACCTGGCTCCTGCGTGCACACTGCTGCACCTGGCGGGCTGACCTCTGTAGTGGATGGGGTGAGGGCCAGTGCAGGGAGTGGGCTATGTGGGAATGAGTAAGTGCCTCTAAATTGAGAAGGTAATTTGAGTCCGAAGAACAACGCAGGCACACCCGTAGTCACAATTAAAGTTTCAGGGCAACTTACATACAGGAGTTGTCAGCTCCAATCAGGTCTTCTGGGTCGAGGCAGGAGCCACACCGCCCACCCCGCCAGCGGTCTTCCTATACCCTGCCTGAGTATGTGTGGTCATTGTGTGAGACTAGTGATGCCAGATATCTGGGGGGATGCCACGAAAGTCTGTTCTGCTAAGATTAATGAATACAGGTTAGTGTACATGAAAGAAACAGTGGAACGTCAGCTGTCTTCCTAGCGTAGGGAAGTTACTTGTTCTAGGCTTGAAGTGGCGTCTGTACAAGATGGAGTCACTCTGGTTTTCCCCCAGGTTCGATTAAGGGAGGCTTCATGTTGATCAGGGATTAGGAGCAGAAATTCGAGAGCGGAGGATTGATGAGGGTGGACTGAGGGGTTTCCTACCAGGGAAAGCTGATGGAGGGCTCTGAAGGCATGCTAGGAAACGTGGATTGGAGGCAGTAGGGGTTTTTGGTCACAAGGAGAGGACACAGCCGATAACAAACGGCCCTTCAAGGAGAGCCTTCTAGCATTGCTTCTCCGAAAGAAGCAGTATCTGATTGTGCTTGAGATTGTACTTGAAAGGAATTTCAGATAAAGATTGGAATTATCATTGGCATTCTTAGGAGGGTTAAGGAATAAGGGTATATAGTGGGTTCATTAAGAGCTGAGATGCTTAGGGTTTCAGAACTGGGTTTAAATCAGGGCCCCCTAATTACTGGTGACTTTGAGCAAATTACATAAATTTGCCTACTAGCAGTTTCTGCATTCTGTAAAACAGGGGTAACAGAAATGACTCACTTCATAGATATATTGTGACAGTCTAGTGAAGAATATGTGTGAATAAAATGTTTGGTGCCGTGTGTCTGGACTTCTCTGCTTCCCAGGATTACCACAGGGATCCTTGCCCTGCTAGCCTGTTTCTCTCTTTAGGTGGCCCTGCTCCTTTTGTGAGGCCAGTCTCAGTGTGGGCAGACAAGGGCAGGACCTGAGACTGAGAGGGAGCGGGAGCTGTGATTGTCACTGCAGCCCCTCCACTGCTGGGGAACAGAGAAGTAGACATGGGGCTGGAGGGATACAGGGGGAGTTTCTTGGGAATTTTGGCAAATGAGAAACTCTAGAAATGAGGTGTGAGGTGTTTGGGATGAAAAGAAATATAAAGGCTACCAGAGATTATCACTCAAATTCCTTCATTACCCTTTGAGAGATGCAACTCAGGAGTGAGTTTTGCCTTTTTGGCTTGTGCTCTTTCATTTTCTTATTTTTACTTTTTAAAAATTCAGTGTTTGCATTATAACATAATTTCCAGGTGTGCATTATTGAGAATTAAGTTCACTGTTAAAAGTCCAGTTCTATGCTTCACCATACCACTGTCCCTTTTTCCCTTTTCCTTTCCCTTGCAGTCACCATTAGTCAGTCTCACAGTGCCAAGGTTTTGTTTCTTTATGGGCCACATATGAATGAAACCACACAGTGTCTGGTCTTTCTTCATCTCACATTTTTATGGCAGAATGCTCTCTAGACTCATTCATATTATTGTAAACGGCAGGCTGTATAATATTCCTTTATGCATGTAGACCACCTCTTCTTTACCCATTCGTCAGCCAGCGGGCACTAAGGCTGTTTCCAACTCTTGGCTGTAGTAAATAGTGCTGCAGTGAACATGGGGGTGCAGATACCTCTTTGTGTATTTCTGCTAAATACCCACAAGTGGGATAACTGGATTGAATAGAGGGCTGTGCTCTTTTATATCTAAGGTGGCCGCAGGCCTGAGCTATAGATACAGGTGCAGACATCAGCAGTCAAATGCACATGCTCTCCTCTCAGCATAGCGCAGGGGCCTTAGCATTCACAGAATCAGTATCTTAGGTGACTGCCATGGTGGCAGGCAGGAAAGAGCAGGGGTGAGGTGCTGCTTTGGGCAGCTGGCTTTGGGGCCCCTCTTCATAGTGATTGCTCTGAGGACTGTCATAAGCATGGAACCACCTCATTACTTCCTGTTTCTGAGCCTTCATAGTCTCATCTGTCTAATGAGACATGGACCAAATGATGTCTCATGTCCTCTTCCCACTCGGATTCTCTAGTTCTTAAAACAATGAACAGTAACAGAGGCTGCAGAAAATTGTGTCCTGTTCTAGAGTTGTTCTTTGAGCGCCCAGTTTGTTCAGATCTAGAAAGCTTAATCTGTTACTCTATGTTATATGAATATTTGTGTATGTGCGTGTATGTTTTCTGCCTGTGGCCTTTCTGAAGCTGAGCTGTTCTCTCATTCTCTCTGCCTTCTTTTTTGCAGATCATGGTGGTGGATGGGGACTCAGGCTCTGTTGCTTGGAGTTACAGTGTTCCATGTCACATGAAAGAAACCCCTACCACCTCAGCAGTCACCTCCGACCGGAAGTCTGTCTTCCTCTTCTGGGCTGAAGGGCTGTCAGCCGTGTCTCCCAGTTCTGTGAGTGAGCCAGGAGGGTCTCTTCACTGTCAAATGGCAGCTATGCGACAGGCAGACTGGGGTCTGGAGGGCTATGTGGCCAGCCAGGAGGTTGTAGGTAGAAACAGAGCAAGCTGGGAGTACCATGCAGGAACCATGCTTGGTCCTGAGCTCTGCTTCCAGCTGCGACCTTTAGGCCTGCAGCATGGAGCTGCCTGCAGCCCCTCGTCATGGGCTAGCAGCCCTGGGACACTAAAGGATAAACATCCTTTCCAGATGTCGGGTCGATATTTTTTTTTTTTTTTTTTAAAGATTTATTTATTTATTTATTTATTTATTTATACAAGCACTGGGTACAGTCAGAAGCGCGGGAGGGTGAGAGGATTCACCAGAGCCAGAGCGGGGAGCAGAGCAGGCAGAAGGACCGAAGTACACTGCTGAGGGGAGCAGCAGGCGGCAGGAGAGGTCTGCGCGCCATGTGGGACCCTCCTCCGGTGGCCGGGGAGCAGCTGGGGATCGAACCGGCGTTGCAGAGGCTGCGGGCAGCTTCGTAACCCAGCGCTCAACCGCTGCGCCACCGGGGAGGCCCGGGTCGATATTTTTAGCTGATTCATGTGTGCTGCCACTGTTGAGGAGAGAAACAATTATGACTGGTCTGCGGTGGGCTGGGAGCGTTTCATGCAGGTGCGAGGCTGAGCTTCAAGATGAATAAACTGAAGTTGCAGAAATGGGTGGGGACAGGCATGGCAGAACAGGGAGTGCCATTTACCAGGCCGAGGTTGAGCCTTAACCCGGGGTGTTCATGGGAGAGGAGGTCTGATATGCAGAGGCAGGTGTTACCAAGTCTTTATGCTCCCCACAGCATTTGATTAGGGTTGCTGAGGCTGATGCCACTTATGCTGCCTTCCCAGGAGGAAGTTTGTACTAAGTTTTACTAAGACCCACTCTGACGTAGTGCTATTAAACACATCTTGACAACACCTACTATGTGTAGGCACTTAGTGTTCTTTGTAGCAACTTAAGAATCAACTGGAAGCAGAACCAGTCCTGTGGAGGGGACAGATGGTCCCAGATGACAGAGGAGCCTGAAGGAGGGAAAGTCCTGAATTTATCCACCATGTGCTCTTGGAAAATCACTTAGCTTTTCCAAGTCTCATGCTCTTCATTCATAAGTAGGCGTGCGACAGTAGTCCTTCAATTTGAGGATCAGATTTACTTAAAATCTAAATCAAAGACCCAACTCTGCTATGTCCTGACATTTGGCCTTGGCCAGTTGATCTAATATTTAACTTCCTGGCTTTTTCATTTAATAAAATAAGGGGATTGCACCAGACCACATGACTGTCAAATGTAAGAACATCACTGCAAAGCAAAGGTGTGTTACAAATGCTCTAGTGGAGGTACAAATATGAAGTTTAAATGGCAGCACAAGACGAGGGAGATACCCTGTTTTCTGGGGTGATGAAGGAGCTTTTCATAAAAGGGGTGGTGTGCAAGCCAGGGACATAAGATTGAGAGGTGTCTTAATGTGTGGAGATGGACAGGAGAGGATAGTTAGGCATCTGAGGGGGGAGTTAGACTGGCCAAGGCTAGCGGAGCAGAGTGAAGCGTATTTAGGTAATAATCAGGCCTCCTGAAGCAACAGGTCTGGGGCCAGTAACTCTAGCAGGAGGCTGCAAGGGGCCGGATTTGGCTGGATGGTGTCAGACTTGGTTTCCATGCTGAGGAGTTTGGGTGCCATTCATTGGCAGTGAGGAAGGAGTTTGCCTGTGTTCCAGCACAGATCCTGCCCATAGGCCTGGCTCTGGGTCCTGAGGTGGTGTGCAGAGAGCCTGCTTCGGCTTTGTGACTTGTGGTAGGTGTGAGTGGCAAGCTTTCTGGCTATCTCTCTTCATTTAGTGGGCACCTTCCAGTGCTGATAATGCAAGCAAGGGTGATATCTATCCCTTAGGAGTTCATTTCCTCCATGGGGGAGGCCCAGGTGGGCCCACTTGAGAGTCACTGCCTGACCCCTGGCTGATATTTCCAGTCCTTGTGGACAGCATGGCAGCCCACGTGTGTGTCCACGAGTGTCACCCCCACTCAATGTCACACATGCAGCCAGCTCCAGGGTGTGTCTACGGGTTGACTCTGACATTCAGGCCGAGGCATTTTTATTTTGCAGTTAATGATTTGCTTCTGCTTGGTCAGTGTTCTGTGCATTTTAGGAAATAAGATTTTTGTCATGGTTAGCCTGAGACTTGCTATTGGCTTTAATATCTAGTGAGAGGAAATGCCTTTGATCACTGCAGTCACACATACAGTTCTGTCTTCACAAAGCCACCTGATCCAGGGGTGGCCTGTGTCCAGTGCTCCCCTTGCAGCACACAGGGAGGGCTCGCCACCAGACTTTCCTCCTTTCGTCCTTAAAAATCCTTGATAAAGGTAGAGAGCATTTTCTAGCAATAGTGGTTTGAAGGCGGTAGTTTTTTGAGCTCTTTGACATGGGGGTGCACACAGCCTTGGAGCTGGGCTCAGGCGTTAGCTCTGAGAGGAGGGGGTGATCAGCACTTCTTCCCCTGCTTCTCATCTGAGGACTATTGTGTGTGGGATATAGCCTCACCTCTGCTCTTTTTGCTTCCCAGGGTCAGGAGGGCACCCTCGGAACCGAGCCACCCGGATTTTACCATCTTTACCTCCTGCATCCAGCTTTCCCCTCCATTCTTCTGGATCTGGCTAATGCTACGGGCACGGTCACAGCTTCGGAGGGTGAGTCCCAGTGCTGGGGCAGGCATGGGTGGGGCAGTGGGCTGTGCAAGGCGGCCAGTGACCAACCAAGGGAGGGATGTCTTTCAGATGACAGAGGCATGTGTGTGCTGGACCACTCCTGTGCACATCCCTGGTGTCTCTGGTGTCCGGGGCCATTGCAGGGGTGCTCCTTCTGGGGGGAGCAGCAGGCTCCCATACTTGGGATCCCTATCCTGTGAACATGCTGAAAGCTGAGGGAAAGTGCTGCCGGGTTCCTAGGGGGCCCTAAAGTGTTGGCATCTTTGCTGGCACTTGCTCAGTTTATTGAGCATCAGCTGCATGCCAGGCCCTGTGCCAGATGCTGGAATGCATCCTCTGGGAGCTCAGGATTTGGAATTAACTTTGAGGGAAATGATGGAGGTATAACGTTTCTCAGAGTGTTAGTTTAGGATCAGCGGAGACTTTGTTTTCACTGTAAAAGTAAACATGGCCCTTGCATGGAAGTGGGAGCCAGGAGAAAAACCAAGGGAACAAAAAAACTCAGCCATAATCTGACCACTCATAACCACTGTGCACATCTTGGAAGGATTCGTCTACTTCACATACGCCTCTAAATAACACGGTGCAGCAAAGCTGGGACCACATATTAGAGACCTGTAATTCAGGAAACCAGGCCCCACAGTCGTAGCCACTGCCGCCCACTAGTCTGGAATCATCTGATGGTCTCCTCAGAGGTGCCTGCCTCTGCTGGCCCGAGGGAGCCTGATGCTCCTGCTGGCGGGAGGGACAACCAAAGCGGCCTTATTTCCTTTCTACAGTCTCTTGCTCTCCGATTACAAACTCATTTACCTGGAAGTTAAAGCTCGTGACTCTTAGTTTATTGGGGTTACATTGGGAAGAAGAGCTGATTTATAATCTGCAGGCACACTTATCTGAGGTGGGAGCCGAGTGGGGAGGTTTTAGCTGATTGAGCTGTTTTTCAGTATTAGCATAGAATATTCCGTGAACACAAAAAATGGAATAATATTATTTGTGTTCCGTGAACACAAATAATGGCAACTAAGAATTGAGACCTTTTTCTGTTATGCCTATTTTAAAGATGACTTAGAGCACCACCAGCCAGGGAAATAGATTATGTGCACCATATCCTGACAGTCTAGCATGTTCAGATTCTCTGGTTTGCTGTGCTACCTTTTTTGCTGAATTCTCATCATTGTTTTTGATTTGGGGTTTCCTTAGACATTGCTTCAGGGACCCAGGTGGATGGGCTGCCTGTGGGCAACTACTCAGTCACTGCTCGGCACCCACTGCCCAGCTAAGTGCCTGGCATTTGAGAGGGGCTCAGTAGGCTTATTGCAGGAATTAATGGAGTAAATGAATGAGTGTAGTGGCTGAGCCAACCCATTCTCCTGTGAATGGAAGTTTTCTGTCCTTGTTGACTGCTCTTGTTTTTATCCTTCCTCAGTTGGAATTAACGACCTCTGGAAAGATGCCTTTTATGTTACCAGGACAGCAGGGCCAGGCTCCGAAGGCCATCCAGCGCCCCTGGTGGTCAGCAAGCTTAGTCTGCGGTGGGCACTGATGGAGGGCCAAGTGGTCCAGCTAAAGGAGGCCACCCCCAAAATTGGCCGTGGGGAGCTGCGGAGATTCCTCTCCAGGATAAAGTTTGTTGATTTTCCCTACCAGGTGAGGACCTTCTGAATGAGCGATGGGTTCCTGCTGAGGGTTTAGGACACATCCCACCAACTCTGACTTTGCTCTTTAGGAAGAGGGTTTGTGGGTGCTTAGGATCAGCAGTGTTTGCTAGGGGGGCTTCATGACCACTGAGAAGTTGAACCTCAGTTATTTTCAGCTGGGAACATACCTTCTTTCTTGGGTACATATGGAAATGGGGGGAGGGGTCATGGTTTTTATTGTCACAGCAACTGAGGAGGGCAGATGCTGCTGTATTTTCTGGGTGGGGCCTAGTGATGCTAATATCATGCAAGTTGGCTGCTGTTACATAAAGAATTGCCTTGCTTGGGTGCTATGACCACCCCATACTGTTCAGGAGCTTATCATGGAAAGTCTTTGGGTGTTTCCAGAAGGACACTTAGGAATAGAGGGGCTAGCCAGAAGGAATATTCTGACCTTTGGGTTTCTCTAGATGTTTCTCTACCGTGAAAAGAATTAAAGTCACTGATAGCAGCACATTTCCCCCTAGATCTAGTCTGATAGATTCTTCAGTTTCAGAAGAAGTGAATGGAAGAATGTTGTCTCTCTGCCGTCTCTTTGGAGAGAAGGAAGCCTGCAGCAGCCTCGTCCACCACCTCTGCGGATCGTTGCGAGGCGCTTGGGAAGGTGCCTGGGAGTTCTCCACTCATGACAGTGCAGTCCATTTGGCTTGGCTATCTCACCTCCCTTTCTGGTCTCCCCGCACTAACCTCCCTGTAGGCACTCTGTGGATAGTTTGGAAATGTGAATAAGTGTTTAAATTTGGTGTGTCTAATTTATGAACTCTTTCTGGGGAATCCCCGTGAAGCCCCACACCTAGGGAGCATTTTGTTCTGCATCATGCCACATGCGTGTATTTTTCAGTGTTGTGGTGTTTTCCAGATATGTCCTCAGACAGGGACTTGTCTTGTCCCTTCTGAGGTGCATCTGACTGGTTTACAGAATGTGGGAGATGGAGGAGCCCAGCATTTTCATCTCCTGTCTTAGGTATCCTGGCTCCTCACACTTTGCATCTGTATTGATTTAGTGACCTAAGAATAACCATATTCCTATCCGAAGAGAAGTAGAGGTAAAACAATCCTCCTTTGGCAAAGTCCATGTTCTATGGTGGTTCTTCTGTTGATTATCGGTTGGTCCTTTTTATTGCAGTAACTTCAGAAGTGCTCATGTTCTCCACTTAGAGGCAGGGAGTCAGGCATGCTAGAGGCAGCTGCCCTTGTCCCTACTCTGCGCTCTGAGCAGATGTTCCTATCGGGTGTATCCTCCTTCCCTCTCTCTCATTCTCTCTCTCTCTGCTCTTTTTTATTCAGGGATATTTTTGCTTTGCTTGCATGAGAGCAAAGCTGTTTCTGGACTTTTCCTCTTGCTACTTGAGCCTGGTATGCAACCATTTTCCCTGCACATCTCCTTCCTTATAGAACTTTTGAAGTGTTGTATTTTGGAAAAATTTCTTTGTAAATACTCTTTTATAATTGGTTAAGTTCTTTAGAATGATCTCTAGTGCTTACATCTCCCTTTTTCTATCAAAAATTACTTCTATTGAGTTCTCTGCTGAACTTCCAGGTCTTGTTTATATAGCAGAAAACCCTAAATTAGCTGCTAGAGAGCTGCTTTTCTTCCCCATTTTCCTAGGTCATCCCTGCGGACAGTGGGTTCTCCCTTTACTTGGGGCTGTATCTTTTTAGTTTGTGTTAATAAAGGGATTTTAGAAAATTTAAGGATTCCAGAGTTAGGGATTCCAAATTTAAAGGAACGTATATTGATTGCCCACTGGTAGGCATCATGCTGTAATAGGAAGTTGATAAAAAGAGCTCCAGCAGGCTTGTTGCCTGGCCTTGCAGATTGGCTTTGCCAGATTTGGGGGCACCCACCTCCCCTTACCTTAAATCCCTGAAAAATCAGTTTCAGCCCTTCAGGAGAGCCCAGCATATTGTAGCCTTGTGTGTGTATGTGTGTGTGTGTATGTGTGTGGTGGTGGTGGGGCAATTAGGATCTCCCAAGAGTTTGGGGATTATTCCAGATTCATTTCTAGGACTGGAATCTACCTGGGGAGAAGCACCTAGGGTGTAGTTTGGTCTAGTAGAGAATTCTAAGGACTAATTTATAGTTAGGTGAATACCTGAAACTTGGGTAGTGGTCCTGCAGCTTGGCTGAGCCATCTGGGCCTAATCCTGGTTCTCCTGCATGTCCAGGGAAGCCAGCCACTCTAGGCTGGAACCAAATGCAAAGTCGGTTCTTCAAAGCCTGACCTCAGGGAATTGTTCTGAGGGTAAAGACTATTATGCCAGGGAGCCCTAGAAACACTTAAGGGGAACCTAGAAGAAAATGATGCTTCTAAATTCTTCAGGGTGTTTTGGCAAATTAACTTCGCATTAACAAGAGGCGTTTGAATCTGTCCTTGCTAAACACGATACAAACTCTGGGTTCCTTGTCTCTTTTGAAATGGGTGCAAATAGTGGCTAAAGACCGAGGAAGCTTCACCTCACCAGCGAGTTGCTGGCCTTTTGTCAGATTTGTCCCTAATAAACTTCCTTCTCCTCGTGGACAGTGAGGATAGGCAGTGGTCCTTTCTCTTCCCACTCCCAGCACAAGTTGCCCGTAAAACTACAACAACCACTACTTAGAGGAGTGACTTCTGCAAATGCCAGGGTCTTTCTTTCTCTCCTCCCAGTCTCTCCTCTTCCCTTTCCTTGCACACCCTCCCCTTTCCCTAGAAGGTACCATGTGCTGGCCCTCCTGATGTGGTTCTGGTGATATCAACCCCCTTGAATGTGAATTGCTATCTTTATTGCCCGTATTAAAGGAGAGCCAGCTGGTATATTGTCAGGAAGCACTATTTAAAATGTGAATTGTTACAGAACAAATAAATGCTACATGTAGGAACACACGCGTGTGCCATTGTCATCCTTAGCCATCCAGGCTGGTTTGTTTTTTCCTTATGGAAAAGAGAAATTTTGTATTTTGGGAAAATTTGGGATGAGGAAGTGGGACTCTCCAGCTTGGTCTCCTCTGGGGAAGCGCTGTTCTATCTGAATAGCCTCTGAGGGCCGTTTCAGGAAGCAAACCTGTCCCCTCCCCTCCCGTTCCTTGCATCTGCCTTCTCAGATGTGCTAGTTTAAGGGCATCTAGGATAAACGTAATCCTAGACAGGATTATTCATCCCAGACAGGACTACATCTAGGATCCCTTGGGTCCCCCAGGGGATGCAGGACACTGTGACACATCTGCCTAATACCAGAGCTCCCAGTAGTGACTTCCGGGAGGATTCCAGTGTGCCAGGGAAAAATGGAGCCAAGTCATCATTGCTGATTTGTCCACCTCCCCTCCTCCAAATCCCAGATGGGTGCCCAGATCAATAAACAGGTATCCTGGCAGGTATCCTCCACAGCAAGAACTGTGTGTTACTCTTTTTAACACACTGTTTAGCCCAGACCTTCCCTAGAACCAGCCAGCTGAAGGAGAGCCGGGGGTTTTACATGCTTGAGGTTTCAGGGGGCGTGAACTAGAGATTGAGAGCAGCGGAGGAGGAGGGAGCAGTGACACCAGGCATGCAGATACCCCTGTTCTGCCTCCAAAAACCATGCTCGGGACACACAGTTTGGCTTAAGCACTTGTTGGTAACAAGCAAACACGGAAAGGTGGTTCAGCCGGCTCTCCAAACGCTCTTTCTTCTAACATTGCTCTTCCTTTACAGATGACCCTGAGACCTCTTCCTTCAGGCCCTGGTTACTCCCTGGTGGAAGGCCCTTGTTTTGTAGCTCTGAGTAGAAGTCAACTCCTTCGGAGACAAAACGGATGGGCGGATTGAGGTATTGGGGGTGGCTAGTGATTGGTAACCCCGCTGTAATTGGTGCCAGGTAACACTGGTGGTGATATGGCAGGCAGCTCAGGGTTTCCCAGAAGCTTTTGCTGTGCTTGCACTTGACCTTTAGCAGCAGCTTGGTGTTTTTATTGAAGGTGGTGACAGCTGAAGCCATACAACAGGTGAAGGAAAATCCAGGCCATGCTAGGCACAAACAGACAGAAAATCGGGCAGTGAGAGTCTTTCTTACAGGGTTGAAAGAAAAACACCCTGACCCCTTCCCCAGGGTACATGAGGCTGTTGTCTTTTGGGGAATTAGGGGCCTGTGTGCTTGCTGCATCTGTCATGTTGCAGGTAAGGAACAGGGGGTGGGGGGCGGGCAAGAGAATGTGATCTTGTGGGGTATGTTCTGAATGGCTCATAGTCATGAGAAACACTTGTGTTGACATCAGACTAGGAGTTTAATGGGATTTTTTCCAGTGACTTGATTATTTTTCAGTGCTCAGCCTGTGGTTACCTCTGTGTTGTCTCCCAGAGTCCCTAGCCTGAGACATAGCCCGATGCACCACTTCCTTCCCCTCTTGCTTTGAGAGTCAAGATTTTCCTTCCCTCACATGCTTTCGATGCCAAGAGCGATCATCTAGCCTCCCTCTGTCTCTGCTTTGGATTTAGCAGACCTGGCACCCACAAAGTCAAGACTCTGCAAATTGTTCAGGAACATGTACTACAATCTGGAGGGGGCGGGAGCTGTGTAGAGGTTGCGCAAGTGGCATTTGCTTGGTGTGTAAACATTGTGGCTCTTAAGGGAGTTCATAATGGGGGTAAGGGAAGCTGACAATTAAAAGAAGTTGGATGGATTCAAAAAGAACAGCAAAGGCAAAGACACCAGGGAACTATATCACACGCATTCCTGTAAATCTGGAAGTCAAACCCCCAAATCTTTCAATTCTGGGAAGCCCAGGAAACAGGAAGTTGTGTGAGGTTAGTGAGGGATTTCATGAGGCCAAATGATGGTTAAAGCCAAGCCGCATGCTGGGACTGCATGTTCTAGCTGTTCCCTCTGATGGGCCAAGGAGACTCAGGCTGGGAATGCTCCAGGGGTGAGCTTTGTGGCCAGAACGCTGCAGTTGTATATCAGGAACAGCTGGAACGTGGACAGAAGGTGAGACATGATGGGTAGGGAGCTAAACTATGGCCAGAAGAGTGGACAAAAGACCTGGAATCAAACAGCAGGTACTATAGTGGGAGAAGGGATGGATCTCCCGGAAGACGTATTTCCATAAAGCCTCCTTTACAATGAAAAGTGAACCCAAGGCTGTGTCTTTGCAGCACTGTAAAAGGACTTAGCACTTACCCAGGTTGGCACCCACGCAAGGGAGAAAGTGAAGAACTCTTAAGGGAAATAATTTACTTTGAACATATTTCCTTTTTCAGAGTGGCTGCTTAGCTCTCTTTGAAAGAAATCTAACCCCTTAGTTTTTCAAGAATTAGAGAATGACTGGTAGGTAAGCTTTATTTCTAACACTATCTGGTGGGAAATAAGAATGGAGAAAGGAGGCTGGCACTTTTCCTTATCGGCAAGAGTAAGCCCTTCACAAGCAAAGGAGGAATTCAATGCAAATTTCAAGGCTAATTTTCCATTTCTCTGCCCTCTAGTACCTTGAGTCGTAAATATATATAATACAGAGCAGCATTTCCATAAGCCACAGAATCAGTCTCACTACACATCAGGTGAAGAAGCAATTGCAGAAAATCAGCAGAAAAACTGGAGATGTGGGGAAGGTTTGAGTCAATGCTGGACTCAGGCCTCTTTTTTAATTTATTGAAATCATTTTTATGGAGGTAATTTCACAACACTCTATATGTTTTAGGGGTACAGGTTCATACCTCCTCAGCTGCCTGTCACCACATCACACCCATGGCCCTTCTCCCCTCCCCTGACGTGAACTTTATTCTTGATTTCATGTACGCATCTCTGCCTTTATCCAGCAGCCATGGTCTTGAAAAGGTGTGTGTGTGTCACAACTGAGAAGTAAACCAAACTATTGAGGAAACTTGCCAAGAACCTAGACATAAGTGGTATCGTCAAAGACCTAATGGTCGAATGGACAATCTCACCTTACAATGACAGGCACCTCACTCAAGGGTTTCTTGCCTCTGTTCTCTGTACTGCCTATGGGCCTCCCTCACTCCCTGAGGACAGAGGCTCCACCCTACAAAGGCAAGGATGCCCCCTCCCCCCGCCCATATGGACAGGAGCACCCACCTGACAGCACAGAGGAAAGGGCTGCAAAGTTGCTCAGCTTGAGCCCGCAGGCTGGCAGCAAGTCCATCGGTAGCCGGAGAAAGCTGATGAATTCAAGTCCAATGGGGGCAGTTCGGGATCCCAGCGATAGCCATAGGGTCTCTGTCGGAAACCAGAGGAAGAAGGAGCCCTTGCCTGACAGCCAAATAACTGAACCAGTGGTGGACGGAGGATCCCCTCAGAAGTGAAAAGCAGGACCAGAGAGGCAAATGGTGAGACCAAGCCCGAACCGCTGGGAACAGTCCTTAACTGGGGGTTCCTGGCTATCACCCCACAACTCCCACTCTGCTCAGGACCCAACAGATAGTTTAGTAAACTTGACTGTAAATACTGTCAGGGAAATTTGAGATGTACTGGTTGAACAGGTTCAATCTTCAAATATATCTTGCAGGGATATATAACTTTGCTAGCTGTCACATTGGTTTCACTTTTTCCTTATTTAACTTGGCAATGTTTCATTTCCACCCTCCTGCCCTACCCCTCCCCACCCCCTCCTTCCTCCATTTTTACATTAAAAAAAAAATCATAGGAAGAAAGGGAAAAACTAAGCTTTTCAACGTGGCCGCTTGGCGACAAGAGTGGGGTAGAGCTTGGTGGTGTCCTGTTTGTGGGCTTTATCCATCCTTGCTGTTTCTTTCCTGCATATGCACGTGAGTCAGCTCTAGGAGGGTTAGTCACGCAGGAGGGATGAGAAGTAGAGAAAGGCAGGAGATCACAGGACAGGAGAGACCCAGAAAGGCCCAACTCAATGGCAGCTAAATTACCAAACCCACGTACTTGCCACGAGCCCTGAAGGTGGGTGGGAGAGGAAAGCCTTTTCCATCAACCACTTCCCTCCAAATCGGAGAGTGGGGTGACGTGGGCCTTGCAACGTGGCAAATTCCAGTAGTCCTTCCTCATCTCTCTCGGTTGGTGGTGTGAGTTCAACGAAGCTTCGGCACTTCTCCCCTAAACACAGACAAGGTCCAAGGTCAGGGCTGTGCTTCCTTGGGCAACTGGGCCGAAAGCTTCCCTACCCTACGCCAGGCGCTGCCCCAGCACACAGTAGGCAGCGAGTAAATATCTCCCTTTGAAAGCGGGAAAGAATACGTGGATGACTGAACGGCATAGGTGAGGGTCATCAGTTACTCTCTGTCCTCAGTTCCCGATAATGAGCAATGTGGCGTCTTCTGGGACAACCCTCAGAGGGCAAGTTCCCATTTCCTGGGTCAGGAGAGGTTAATCAATCCTAGTTTTAACCATGACCTTTTGCTGCCACTGGTCTGAATGGTACTGAATGGTTTTAGGCCTGGGCTTGAGGCAAACCTTAGTGGTACAATAGTAAATCCGTCTCCTCTTCCTTAGCCCAAATTGGGAGAAGGAGCAGATCACACATTGTACCCCAATTAGGGGCTTGAGAGAACGTTACTGCCAGGTGCTCCTTCCAGACCTCCAGGTAAATGCAAATGCTCTGGGCAGGGCCAGGAGGTGTCCTCAGTCCGTGGCTCCATTCCAAGGACGACAGACTAGTGTGTGTGACTCATGTCGCCTTGTTGGTGTGTGCGGAGTGCAAGAGACCTTCTGGGAGGTCTGTTCAGCGTCCTTACCTGATCTGTTAATAGTTCCCCTTCTTGGGCTTCTTCCCCCCAACCCTTTCAAGTTGTAACAGTAATACCTAGAATGGGAACACCCCTTTGGGGAGGTGGGTGGGGGTGGAAGGGGCTTTAAAGGTCATCTGCTCTGATCCTTTCATCTCATAAATGCAAAATCAAGGCCTCTAGAAGTGATTCATATAAGCTGGGCAGTCTTCTCATTCATACTCATCTCTCCTTGTTTTGTTTAAAAAATGGCTAGAGTGGAAATTCGCATCATGTCAAAAGTCTAATTGAAACTCATGAAGGGTAAAGCTACTTTACACCAGTGAGTCTGCTAGCGAGTCTGCTAAGATCAAATGGACTTTTGATCTTATTAAAAGGGGTGTCCTGTGGAGAAGGGGCACATAATGAGGTGGGAGATACTGAGGCAGCCTGGGGGGAGGCCAGGTGGGATAGGGTGGGGTTCCTTGCCCATACACTATTCCTTGGGGGGAAATTAGGCAGCTAGGGTGAGGAGGCACCTGGTTCTTCCATGATTTCCTCACAGGATAGCCACATGCCATTGCGGAAGGCATGGTAGGAGAAGTGGACATCCCCAGTCTCCCGGTTGTGTCGCACCACCTCCGGGGCTGATGTGTGGACATTGCTCCCGTCCAAGGGCATCGGCATGTCAAAGCATTTGGTTGCCAGACCTTTCCCGAGCAGGGGCTCGGGCACCTTCTGTGTGTCCACAAACCGGAAGCTGATGAGCAGGGGTGTTGTGAAGAGCCTGAGTGATAGCAGGTTGAGGATGGCATATAGCAAGGTTCGCTGGTCAGAGAAGGCCTGCGGGAGCTCCATCTGCAACAGACAAGCACAAGGGGGCAGCCTCAGCTCAGAGCTACCTTGGACATTTGAACACCCTCCCCTGCGGCTCCCGGACTCCAGTCACATTTCCTCACAGATAGCCTTGGGTGGTGTGTGGAAGTCTCTCAATGAAAGAACTGAGCCCTGGGTATGATACGCAGTGCCCACATGAGCAGGAGTAAAGGGATACCACCAGACAACCAACTCTGAAGAGGGAAGCAGAAGTGACCCTGAAGTGGAGCTTCCATATTGAAATCTTCCATTTTTGTCTCAAGAGGTGAGACAGGTGTCTACATGGCCTTCAGCCGGCAAGTTCTAGGGAGTGTACTTGTATCTGAGTCTGGAAGGTGCTACTGTGACCCAGTGATGGCTGTGTTCTGAGAGCGGGGATGGATTTGCTTGTAACCGCTAACGGAACCCTTAGTCCCAGGCTGGGAGGGGGTGAGCATGAGAGAGGAGCTCTACAAATGTGCTGCTGGCCAGTGCCTGCTGACATTCTGCCTCCTCCAGGCTCTGCCTCCTCCATGCCCAGTTGCATCAGGAGTGTCTGTTGCCGACTAGCACTTCCCGCAGGAAGTGCAGCTTGGAAGGCCTCAAGGACTCTTGATTTTTCCCTCCTCACTGGCCTGCTCATCACTTCTATTTGTGCTCATGTCTGTGCCCCTCCAAGGCTCCAGCTGCCCACCCTTTCCTCGCTTATTTTCCCCCAGTGTCTAGCATAGCATGGTGCCCGCTAGACCCTTAGCCCTGTGCTCATGAAATCTAGAGTTACGCGAGGGAACACGGTGATGAATGGAGCCACTGAGGCTTGCATAGATCAGGTTGAGAAACAGAATTGGAGCCTTCGAAATGCTCTTGCGAGGTAATGATTTTTGGTTTTGTCTTCCTTGCTAAGGCCTTTGGTGTTGTGACAGGTTTTTGGTGTCCTCTTCCCTAAACCATTACTTCCTCTAAGAGGAGAGAGGGGGCTATGCCTTGTTAATGACTGTTAGGTGGAATCACTATGTGAAATGGGGATGGGGTGCAGATAGAGGATTTGGGGGCTTGAGGATAGGCAGTTGACCAACTGGGATATGAGGCAGTTGAAACCCTGGAGAAGTGGAACACTAGTGATCTGGGTTCAGCTTCTAGCAGCTGTTACTGATCTCCAATTGGAGGTGGCTGTGTGGTGCCCATGGAGGCTGGACGCTCAGTGTCAAGGCCGTGGAGCCATAGGGAGGATACCCTTGGTCGGTGGAGAGAAAGCTTGAGGGTGCCTGGCTCACAGTGGGTACAGTGTGTGACAGCAGTAGAGACTACGGTCTCTGTGGCTCTGGCTGGAGCTCCTGCCCCTGGTCATTTAACAAAGAGGAGGGAGGGCTGAAAAGTGATCATATTTAACATTCCAATTCAGTGACTTGTGAGTGGCAGCTGTGCCAGATTTGATTTGCTTTAGAAAAATGAAGTGTGACAGGTCTCTGCACTAAGCGTAGCGGAGCAGTTTATACTGTCATGTTAATACATATTGAACAGAAAGGAAGCCCATCCCCAGACTCTGACAGATGCATCCTAAAGTATACCATCTTGAGCTTCCCGGGGGATCTCATATCAGAGTTAATCAGACCTAAATCTGCTTAGCTTAAGAGAAGTAAATAAAACCATAGCTAAGTGGGACAAGCTCACAAATCTCTTTCTTCATCATCTCTAGCTTAACATTTTCTACATTTAACAGAAAACTTTATCTTTGGAATCTACGTTTTGTTCTTGAGAATTTCCAGGGACTAAAACAAGGCATACCGGAGACAAAGTGCATATTATTCACGGCAATAATACACAAGTTCCTATATATATTAAAAACAAATACACAAAACAGGATAAAACTACTTCCGGAAAGCAATCTACTAATAAGATTTTTAAAAAGGCACTCAACAAAATAACTCCACCAACAATTGTCAGGCCATGGAAGACTATGGGTGAACTTAATAAGGACTGAAAAACCGTAACATCCAGAAGGAGAAAAGATCTTATATGACCAGATGCAGGAGTCATGTTGCTATCCCTCCAAAGAGTGTTTTTCTCTTGTTTTTAGTGAGGAAATCGCTATTGATTTTAGTCAATTTGAGTTATCCTTTATAATTATACATATATGTATATATGTTGCTTGAATAGGAAATGTACTCCAGCTACACCACCTTACACTAATTATTCTGTATAATGGTTGAACTAAGCATTTAGGCAATTCAAAATTTCCAGTTTTATTTTTAGTTTAATATAACTTGGAAATTTATCATAAGAGATTTTTTAAAATTTCATTTTATTATATTTTATATAATTCTTACATCATTTTTCATTTTTGCACAATGTATGCATTTTCATTTTGGTTATATTCCCCATACAATTCCCACCCCCGTTATTTTGGCCCTAATCCCTCCTTTCCCCTCCTCACCCCCAGTGTGTCTCTGGTTTATAGTTGCTTATTGATTTTGATTTTTTCTTTATTATAATTAGTCTTTTTCCTGGTCCCTTATTTAGGTTTTCTAAATTCCTGCTGTTAGTGAGACTATCTGGTATTTTTTTTTTTATTTCTGGCTTATTTCGCTGAGCATGATTCCTTATAACTCCATCCATGTTGCTGCAAATTGCATGAGTTTATCTTTTTTGATTGCTGAGTAATATTCCATGGTATATATGCACCACATCTTCTTGATCCAGTCATCTATTTTTGGGCATCTGGGCTGTTTCCAAAGCTTAGCTATTGTAAACAGTGCTGCTATAAACATAGGTGTGCAGGTGCCCTTTGGTATTAATGTTTCTGTGTCCTTTGGGTAAATACCTAGGAGTGGAATTGCTGAATCATATGGAAGCTCTATCTTTATTAGGTTGAGGAACCTCCAGACAGCTTTCCATAGTGGTTGGACCAGTTTGCACTCCCACCAGCAGTGCAGGAGAGTTCCTTTTTCTCCACAACCTCGCCAACATTTGTTGTTGCTAGTTGTTTTAATATGTGCCATTCTCAATGGTGTAAGATGGTATCTCATTGTAGTTTTGATTTAAGGCAAAGATAAACAGCTGGGACTACATCAAATTAAAGAGCTTCTGTACAGCAAAAAAGACAATAACTAAAACAAAGAGAAACCCCACCGACTGGGAGAAAATTTTTGCACACAACACTAATAATAAAGGAGTGATCACAAAAATCTACAAAGAGCTGATGAGACTCAACAAAAACAAAGAAAATAATCCAGTCCAAAAATGGGCAGGAGAGCTAAAAAGAAACTTCTCCAAAGAGGAAATGCAAATGGCCAGCAGGCATATGAAAAAATGTTCAACATCACTTGTAATGAGGGAAATATCATAACAGATTTTAACTCTTAACTCCAATCCATTTCAAGTTACACATATTTGTTATTTGGTGGGTCATTCAGAAATAAAAATGAATCACACACTATAGTACAACTTCTCTGTGGCTCCAGGGTGAGAACTAATTTAAGGAAGAGGAACTGTAAGAAACGAGGAAACTAAGGAAAAAAAAAAAAAACCTCAAGGCGGCTGTATCCAGGAGTGCCCACCAAGAATGGACCCAAGAACCTTCTTCAGTCATTCAAGAATTATCTGGATAATGGAATGGAAATCCCATCAAGAGCCCTTTCAAGAATTTTTCTCATTACATATTTTATTTCTCCCCCGAACATACTTTTTTTTTTCCAGGATCCAGATACTTGCCAAATTGGAAGAACAAATTTCCAATTTCTCTGTGATTTTCTTAGGATGATCATGAAGATGTGGAAGCTCTGAGAAAAATTATTTCTTTGCATATGCTGACCAGCCCCATGCAAGGTGATTATTTTTGGAAAAGGGACAGAGTAGCTGCTCTGATACTTAGGGGCTGAGAGGATAAGGAAGTGCACAGGTGCTGAAGTATCACCGAGACTTCCATCTACACAGGTGGACAGGAAAACAGGATTCACAAAGGCTAGTGAGGGCTACCCATTGATGAGACAGGCACACCTCTAAAGAATGTGGTACAAGATAGTGTGGCACCTATGTTCTGAACAATAAAAGGGGGAAGCTGGTTACCTTGGCCATGTCCGTGTCTTGCAGCTTGTCCCTGAGGTGTCATCTGTGCTCCAGATCCCTCTGATTTAATGTTAAAGGTATGGAGATTGCTTTCCCCCTACCCTCCCCCAATCTTAGAGTTTTGGGAGTGCCTCATGATTAAATGCTGCTTTTCAGGGAACTTGGGCATTTAATAATTGACAATGCAGTCATGGCCCAGCTGTTCTGGGAGATTACACAGGAGAGCTTGCCAATGGGGAGCCGGGATTATAAGCACAAGGCAGCCAGGACCTGCATTCAAGGAGGTGAGTTCTCTAAAATGTACATGATTAGTTTCCATCTAATTGCCATTCCCTGGGTGATTGGTGTGAATAGAGTGGGCTTGATTTTAGGGCAGGCACAGAAAATATTATAAGGGTTGCCATTCCCACAGAAGTCCCCATTCCCTTGAGTGGGGTCTCCATTCTTTTAATCAGCTCCACTCTGCAGTGTTATGACCTCACAGATATGTGGAGGGAGCAGCGTCCTTGGGCCAGGGGTGGTCTCCATTCTCCAGTTGGTATATTATTAAGGATGATTAAATCTCTACCCTTCACATGGAATGCTGAGGGGGTATACAGCGGACATGGGGGTGAGGATATAGACAGAGTAGGAGTGGAGAGAAAATTCACCAGGAAATTCTGGCTGGACATCATCTCTATCCCAGTCTTCAGGTAAAAGAAAGAGCAATCTGATTTTTTAAAAACAAGTTTTCTAAACCTGAAAAAATAATGAGACAAATCAACACAGGATTGATTGCCTTTCTTCTTGCTACTTGTCATCTAGAAGCATGGTTTTGCTTTCTGTTCTCAAAAATTGTGCCAGTTAATTGGGATGACATGGGTGTGAGATGCTGTGCAGCTTCCTGTGATTCCCTTGACACCCCAGGGACTTTCATCCTGGCGCCTTTTGATGATGCT